CTGTAGCGTTCTTCTGGGGTTTGGGATCTGGGCAGCTGGCTCTCTGTCCCCTCTCTCAGGCTACAGCCTGTCTTGCTCTGGGCTAGGTCACCTCTTCTTTTCTGCCTTGCCCCCGCTGAGTCCAGGGCGAGTTTCTTTGGGACCGGCCTGAATTGTAGAGGAGTGGGCAGCCCTCTGCTGCTGCGCCCCAGCTTCTGGCATGGAGACTCCAGCAAGGGCTACAGCTTCCCTGACAAGCTTTGCAGATAGCTTCGCCCACCCGTCTCTGCACTGTCCTGCTGTGTCCCTGTTCCCACCCAGGCCTCCTGGCTCAGGGCCTGCTCCCATCTCTCTGCAGACTGGCTGTTCGTGGTTGTTGTCTGCCTAGCTGTCTTCCTTGTCTTCCTCCTCCTGGGCATCTGCTGGTGTCAGTGCTGCCCGCACACCTGCTGCTGTTACGTCCGGTGCCCCTGCTGCCCAGACAAGTGCTGCTGTCCAGAGGCTTGTGAGTGTCCCTCGAGTGACCACCCCCATTCAGCAACTTGCCTGGGTCCAAGGGGAGGAGGTGCTACTGGTCTGGAGGTTATGAGGTGAGCAATTTGGGAGAAAGTGGGTCAAGGAGGACCAGCAGATTTAGATTTTTATTTACATACTTTAACTTTTCATTTATTTTGATTCTTCATTTGAGTTTTTCTTTTTGAAAGTATAATCTATATGCACGGTAAGAAAAACTCAAATAGTACAAAACAGTCACTGGAGAGTAAATCTCCCTTTAAAAACAAAATCTTAAGTCAAAAGGTAAGAAACCAAACGAGGTTTATAGCATCACATAATTTAAGCAAATTAAAAACCTCATCCACACAACCTTTGGATTTTATACGGGGACTATGTTTAAAGACATGTCTAGCACATGAGTGGCACCTGGAGAGTTGGGAATGGAAGTGGGGAAGGAAGCAAACAAAGCAGGAGGGGAAAGAAGGAAGAAAGTGAGTCCCTCCTCCCGCTGCCCCCTGGCCCCTCTGCAGGGACTGTCTGGGTAAACCAGCACCTCTGCACTCAGTTGTTTTGAAGTTTTAATCAACTTTGACATGGACATTTATGTGGGCCACTTTCAGCCATACATACGTGTATCTAGTCTCTTGCACTGAAAATAGGCCATGAAAGCACACTTCTCTACTAGTCCTTAGTAAGTTCAACACTCCCACCTTTTCCTTTATCATTGTAAAGGTCACTGTATCTTTGGTTGATGAACAGATGACCTTGACAGCTAGAAACATAACTTTACACATGAGGAGCACCTAGAACATGAGACCAAAAGAGGGACAGACGCATGTACTCCAGATGGGTGTATGTCTGTGTACTTACATTTAAAGCTCATACACATGATTTCAGTATAACGCAGTCCAAGCTGCGTTAAAAGTTGAATCACAAGCGATTTTTAAGGTGGAGGTTTGCGGCCTGGCCTGCCTCCTTACCTGCTTGGAAGCCCAGTAAATCCCCCTTATTTAGTCTCCTCTTCTGTAAAATGGGACTATGGCAGAGCCCTCTGTATAGGGTGAATGTGGGAAACTGGTGTGTCCAGCATTTACTGCAGGGTTCGGCCTACATGAAGTGTTCCACACTCACTAGCCATTGGACATTGCTGCTGTCAGCATCGGCAGTGACCGAGGGCCAGAGAGCAAATCAGAGCCCTGCCACTCACACTTCAGAGCAGTGTTCCCTCTCTGTGCCTGTTTCTCCTACCTCAGGGGGTGTCGTGAGCATTAAGGGAAGACTTTGAGCGTCCCTAGCACAGGGCTGTGACTCACTCCATGCCGACTAATTCTATGGTCACTGGGCTCAGTGGTGGGCAAACTGGTTCCTCAAAATACCACTCCCTGAAAAAAATTTGCTGTTATTTGGGGACTTAAGCTATCACCTTTCTTGTCATTTTTAGTTGGGAGCTTCTGGCTTACCTGGTGGATGTTGGTCCGTTTCACAGGTGGAAAGGGACTCCCAAGGGCTATAACCAAATTTGCAGTTACCCCACAAATTAGGTTAAGGCTGGGGCAAGGACTGCAAATTATCTCCATTCTGAATCTCTGTTATCCAAACTGAGGCCCCATTAATTCCCTACCAGAGGCTGCATTACTCCACAGCTATAGTGACAGCCACAGCCCTCCTGGGCCATCTGAAAGCAAATCCCACAGCAAATTGGAAATCAGCCAGTCACCTGAGCTACTGGGGGGGCTTCTGGGGGGACCACTGAGCCTTTTGCTTCCCCACTGAATCAGCAGTGAAGGGACCTTTCTGAGCCTATCTCCTCGCCCTATTCCTCCTACCCCCCACCCCCACTCCCATTTTCCTGTTAAGAAGCCCAGGGAAGAAACAACGTGCCTAGGCAGTGACTGCTGCAGGAGCAGCCGCCAGAACCCAGCCTCTGGCCTGGAGAGGAAGGCAGCAGGGAGGATTTGCCCTCGAACTGTCAAGCCTAGAACCAGGAGGGGGTGAAGGCAGAGTAAGTGGGTATAGCCACTAGGAGAATCCCCATGACCTCGAGCTCTGGAAGATGCCATGGCGAGGATCCAGCAGGCCTGAGGGGAGCAGGCATGGGATTCCCCTGCCCCGAGATGATTTGTTTTCTAAAGCTGGGACTCAGCTGCCAACTGGAATGTTTTGGCCTGTGGGTCCAGCACATGGGTTTATCTAAAGGGGCATCTTCTCCCTTTGCTCTGTGAATGCAGGCCCCAGGTGGCCACTTCTTCTGATAAGGTGGCTAGAGAGTTGGGATTTTATGTAAAACCTCGACAAATGTTGGTGAACATCACTGCTAAAGAAAACATGTCCTGCCAGATTGGGGCTGCGGGCTGCAGCGTACATCCCTGTCCTCAAAGCTCCGTGGAGGAAT